ATTGCTATGTTTATGGCTTCATGCATGTTGTTTTCGTAGGGAGAATCATAATCCTATTACATGACAAAGAGCGACATATATAATTTTGATTTGACGAGGATGCCCTTCAACCACTCGCTTCTATTGCTAGAGACTGCAACTCCGTATTGTTTATAGGTACCAAATATTTTAGTTAAAAATATCATCATTGGAGGTTGGGACTTGAAGAATATAAAATAAAGGACCCCCCTAGCTAGATGCCTTTGTCAAATCACCGGGTAGCTCGATGAGAGAGATTAATTTGCACAAAAGAAGCCAAGCATACACAGTGAAGCTCCTGTTGCAAAGATCAACTGCCTACTCTATTACTTTTGTTTCTTTTTAACAATGTCACTTGCCAACTTTTGAAAGTTTGGTTTTGTTGAATTAATGAAACCCTAAGTGCTAACCTAGTTTGTCAAAGTGATTATGAGATAGGTAGCACTACTCCAAGTGGTGAAGCAAATAAAGATCATAACATGATGATGGTGGTGCCATGGTGATGATCAAGTGCTTGGACCTGGAAAAGAAGAAACAGAAAAACAAAAAGCTCAAGGCAAAGGTGAAATTGATAGAGGCTTTTCGGTTTAAGTGATAGAGACACTTAGCAAGTGTGATCACATTTAGGATTGATAGCCGTACTATTAAGAGGGGTGAAACTCATATCGAAATACGGTTATCAAATTACCACTAGATGCTCTAACTCATTGCATATGTATTTAGGATCTAGTGGAGTGCTAACACCCTTGAAAACATTTGTGAAAATATGCTAACACATGTGCACAAGGTGATACACTTGTTGGTTGGCACATTTGATCAAGGGTGGTGAAGTTTAGGGTCAAAAGGAAAAGTTTCGTATTGACTGGACTCTGCCTTAGGCAGTGACCGGACTCTGACCCCGCGTCTGGTCAGTGGCGCGTAGTGAAGGCCGCCCTCGGTTCCTTGACCGGACGCTGAAGAGAAAGAGGGACCAGACGTGCAGGGGGTGCGTCCGGTCACCTAGTGACGTACGCTGATGCAAGCAACAGAGAGAGGCTGAGTTGACCAGACACAGGCATGGGCCCGGACATGAGCCACCGGACGCGTCCGGTCACGACTTTCCACCTCTGGAACCTTACTGGATGTGACCGGACGCCAGGCGACAGTGCGTCTGGTCCTACACTGTAGTGCGTCTAGTCGCAACTTAACACGAGGCATGAAGCTGACTAGCCGTTAAGATCGGGCGCTCAGCATTTAAGGCTGATGACATGTGGCGAGCATCGGGTGATCGGACGCTGGGTTCTGCGTCCGATCAACCTGACCGGCGTGTCCGGTCAGCCCGTGTTTCACTGGACAGAGGAGCCAACAACTCTATTCGTGGGGGCTCTCTATTTAAGCCCCATGGCCGACTCAAGCTCACTCGCTTGGCCATTTGCATTGACATAGCAACCTTGTGAGCTTAGCCAAAGCTCTCCCATTCATCTCCATCATTGATTCATTATCTTTGTGAGATTGGGAGAGAATCCAAGTGCATTGCTTGAGTAATTGCATCTGAGACACTTGGTGTTCGTGTTTCGCTGTGGGATTCGTTTGTTACTCTTGATGGTTGCCGCCACCTAGACGGCTTGGAGCAGCGAGGATCATCGAGCGGAGGTTGGTGATTGTCTCCGGCTCCGATCGTGGTGATTGTGATGTGTTCTTGACCTTTTCTCGGGCGGAGAGCCAAAAGGTACTCTAGTAAATTGCTCATGGCTTGTGTGATCCTCATCTTGTGTTGGTTGTGCGGTATCCTATTGAGGGTTTGGCGTGTGATGCCAATTAGCGCGTGAACCTTCAAGTGAGTGAATCGCCACAACGAGGACTAGCTTACCGGCAAGTAAGTGAACCTCGGTAAAAAATCATTGTGTCATCATTTGATTCTAACGTGATTGGTCTTCATTGGTATTCATTCTTGTAATTGATTGGTTCATTCCTCGACTCGACGGTATAACCATCTTGCTCTCTCTCTTTACATTACCATAAACTAGTTATCAAGCTCTTTAGTGTAGCTAGTCATGAGAGCTTGTTAGTTTAGTTAGTGTGGCTCTTTAGTTAGCCTTTAAAAGCACACTAACTTAGTATAGTAACATAGCCATTGTGTGGATAGAGACTAGAGAAACTAGAATTGTGGTAGGTGGATTGCTTTTTAGTAGGCTAGTGCAACACTTGTCTCGCCTCATATTTGTCTAACCGGTTTGCTAAGTGTTGTTGTAGTAGAAATTTTTAATAAGCTATTTATCCCCTCCCGCCATTATGACCTTTTTACATATAAGTTGAAACCACATAAAGTGCTATGCTCAAAGCTATTCTGCACTGTGCCACATCACACTTTCTATGGTAGGAAAAAAACAAACTTTCAACGCAAATCGCAACATATTTCATCAATAATGGACATGCATGCCCACCCTAGCTGACCAACTAACCTTGCAAACTTTTAATTTATACCATACTTTTAGCCGCATTAATATAATCAAACAGGTTCGCTGTATGGGATACAAAGACAAACTGTCTAGAGAAAAGATTCATTCTCATTAAAAAATGGAAGTTTGGCTCTGGCTCTCTGCAAATGGTGGTTGGCTCAAAATAGAGAGATTGGAGAATCTATTTGGAGGTTCAGAACTAACTAACGACCTTTGCAAATTGGAATGGTGGCGCGCGCGCGCACACACACACGGCCGTTGGAAGCCTGACACGTATAGTGCCTGCAAACTTTAGCCAGCTGGGTTGCAAATGGTAGCGGCAGTCTCAATCTAATGCCTGCCTGATGCTGCTATGAAACAAAAGGTGCCACGGAAGTCTGAATCAGCAAAGGGAATATCGGTGGGAAAGTTGTGTGTGTGCTTCAGAATGGCAAAAATTATGTATCATCTTAATCGGGCATCAATTGCGCCATACAGGCTAGTTGAGTCATGTGTCAGTGTTTGTCATTGCGCCGGGACATGCGGCGTGAGTTTTATTTGGAGCAAACGATTGGCAACATGCAGGAATAATAGGTTATTTGCTTGATCAGGATTGCTTGGTTAATTGATATGTTTCTGAATTTTGTGGTGTGTGGACGGATAGATAGATACAGTAGATACCTAGAAATATAGGAGCGAGCTGCCTTCGTCGTCGTCAGTGTTTAATGTTCTTGATTACTCGGAATCTGATTCGAACTTCATGATTGTTTAGTAGATCGGTCAGAACTCAGAATTCAAGCCCTGTCTCAACTAGATCGCACGTACGTTCGTTGAACCGACAAGTATCCACTTAACACTTGTAGTGCAAAGCAAATACATAAATAACAAGCCCAAGTTTACAAATAGAGATCACTTAGGGCCTGTTCGTTTGACCAGGAACGGTCACCTGGAACAATTCCCAGACGGATTGATTGTCTAATTTGTATAACTTTGATCAGTTGGAATAATTCCTGGGCTCAATCCACCCTAACCGAACAAGCCTTTACAAATGCGGATGGAACGAAACAAATCGGGTACAAATGAAATCTGGATATGTCTAGTCAGATATGATATTTTAGTCGGATATAAGTATGGGTTCAGATATTCTCAAACACGAATACAAATTGAATATATTTTGAATTATAATAAGTATTAATAAATATTCGCATGTCTAGTCAATTTAGTTGATAACACATGTATCCATTTTCCTTACCAATGGATTTAATTTCGAAGAACAAATCTATATGAGTAGATTAAATGTGAATATATAACACATGTAGACAAATATAGCCCATCAAAAAACATATTTAATCAATAAATATTTCAATAACATCATCACGGAGGACATATCTGTACCCCTAGACATAAGGTGGACACTTCCCCTAGTCTATTGGGGTCCTTATCGTAACATGACTAGAAAACCAACCTGTAATCTTGCCCCTCGGACAGTATAATAAGGAGGGGCATTACATGGCAATCCTCGATGTCCCGCAATGTCCCTCGCCATCCCAAGGCATTACTTGGTGTCCCTAGACATACCTCATCGTTTATCGGCGCCCCTCAATGCCTTTCAGGTTCACACAGTGTCCCTCGATGCCATCCGACATCTTTCAGCATCACTTGGCATCCCTCGCCACTACTCAACATTCCTCACTATCCCTCAACATCTCTCGGCGTCCCGCAACATCCCTCTTTATCTCTTGGCACCCCTCGACACCCTTTGATGTCTCTCAGCGTCACTCGGTGCCCCTTAGCATCCTTAGGCTTCACTCAGTACCCCCTCAAAGTCCCTCACCATCGCTCGATGCCACTTAAAATCCCTTGACGTCTTTCAGTGTCAATCATCGTGTGATGTTGGCGACATTACCGGCTTAGAGGGATTGAGGTTGACAACGTTCTTCTTAGGCCTTGATTTACTGCTAAGTTGGAAGCCAACTTAGTAGAATGCCAAAGCCAAAAACATATATAACTTGATATAAAGAAAACAACTATGAAAGCGACTTAACTAGTTTGATGAGGTACCTGGTGACGTTGGTGGCAGCATTACCAACTTGGAGAGGTTGAGGATGACGATGTTGTTTGATGAATATTGAGGGGCATCAAGGGACATTGAGGAACTGCGAGGGACACTAAGAGACAATAAGGGACAGTGAGAACGCTAGAGAACACTGAGTGTTCCTGAGTGAAGATGTGGGACCCTAAGTCGTGGCAATGGACGTTGAGGGGCAGCAATTGACGATGAGGGAACAAAATATGAGAGAATACTAATAACACTTAACTGGATCAATCTTTCACATCAATTCGTAAATGTTAGACACTTCCTCTAGCTCTTGTTTGAGCTGCCCATGTCCCACGTCCCCGGCCCGCCACGTGGCCCCCGCCTCCTTCCTATATAAGGACCCACCTCTCCAGCCTCCACCTTTGCCACGACCACCAGACGACCTTCCCTCGGTCGGTCCTCGCCTCCTCTGCTCTGTTAAGCTTCTCGCTCTCTCTCTCTCCTTCCACTTCTTGATCGAGACGGCAATGGCGAAGGGAGGGCTGAGCAAGCTCAAGTGCATGATCAAGAGGTGGCACTCCTCGAGCCGGATCTCGCGCACTCCGTCAGGGTGCTCGGCGCGCTCGCACGACGTCGGCGGCGTCGACGACGCTGGCGCCGGCGGCTTCGCCTTGGAGAACTCGTGGAGGAGGGGCGTCGCTGCCTCGTCCGTCTTCGCCTTCGGCGGCGGCGGAGGCTCGGCGGGGTCGGCGTCGTTCCACGGCGCCGACTGCGTGCCCCCGGGCCTCCACCCGGTGTACGTCGGCAAGTCGCGCCGCCGCTACCTCATAGACGCGGACCTCGTCGGCCACCCCCTGTTCCAGAACCTCGTCGACCGCTCTGGCGGCGCCGGCGCCGGCGTCGGCGCTGGCGGGGGCGGGACCTTCGTCGGCTGCGAGGTCGTGCTGTTCGAGCACCTCCTCTGGATGCTCGAGAACGCCGACCCGCAGCCGGAGTCGCTCGACGAGCTCGTCGAGTATTACGCGTGCTGATCGTGATCGACCGCCTACTCACGGCCATGTCCGATCCACGATGCCGGCACCGGCAGCGCAGCGGCGCCGAGCTGGAAGGCCAGAGTCAAGGGGTAATTTGGGTAATCTGGTTCTTTTATTTAAGGTTAGGGGTAGAGTTGTAATATACGCAGGATTGCGAGGGCAACGAGTGGAGATAGTTAACCTTGTGGTGTTTGTGGTAATTATCTCGAGATAGCCGTGTAATTACCGTGCACCCAAGATAATGCTCTCTCGGGGCAGTTAATTAATCTCTAGTGCTTGATGTAATGTAATGGCTTGCATGTTTCTTCTGCTGTTTCTTTTAAGCAGAATTGAATAAGATTTTAGGAATGGGTGTATCCATGTACATTATATATATTTCACACCAATGTATGAAGTCCATGCTCATTTCATTTCTTTCTTGTGAATTGTTCTTCTGAGTTTTTTTTTTCACTTGGGCCATGCATATTGACGGAATGGAGCCATAGATAATTTTATAGGTGAGGCTAAAGCCTTCATTTCGTTTACAGATAGTTTTGAGTTCTCAGTGAAAGCTGGAGCATGCACGTACGTAGGCCAAACCGGGCATTTCGTACTGACGAAAGCTATATTTCAAAGTTGCTAGCTGGTAATGAGAGTGGAAAGATCAAGTTGAAATTCAGTGGCCAAACAGATGGGGAGCGGGAAATGGTTTACTGACCAAAGTATCACTAGCGAAGTTGAGACATGGTTATATATATAATACTAAAATTTGGAAGAAGCAAGGTTAATTTGTAGCGGATAAGGAACGTAAAATGTTGCACAATGTCTTTATTTTCTTGACCACAGGGAGAGACTCCACCGAGCATTTTGTAGTTTATGGTAGATAGAGGAACTAAACCCTAGCTAGCTAGTAGACTCACTAATAAAACCATGCTAAATCGTCAAAGACTTGAGTTAAGGTGGGTAGATTCTACTATAATGAATCTAACGAACTGTAGGTTAGGTTCGTACTAAACCTAGTTTCTCAAGAGTCAAGGAGGCATCCACGTACAAATTTGGTGAACCTCGAGATCAAGTTCGATGAGGAGGCCATCCTCTCAACCAGTATGTCCCACGAATACATGACACCCAGTTTGTTCATAAATCTAATAAACACGCAATTTGATCAAATCCAATGATTAGTTAGCCATCATGTGCGTGCTGAAAGGACCATAAGCTTGATCATTACCAAATCTTTGTATTCTAATCAGACAGGGTTTATTAGATAGTATTTTGGTGCGCCCACGCGATTAGATGAGTTAAAGTCTTCGCTGTCATGGCCGCGCGCTTTCCCCTCTTATTTGCAGGGCATGCTTAATCATGTCATGTGTGCTTAATCCCTTCTATATTGACTGGATGATGACAACCTTTCAGGCATGCATTTGGACGTACGTACTGCTAGCTGGGGCCACTTCAATAGGTAGGTAAAGGAAAGCATTTGGTCCCCTGCATGAAACCGTTGGTCCATGCATACATGTATATTTTCCTGAAACTAATTTCTTATGCTAGATTGTGTCTTGAATTATTCATTCTAATTTGTAGCTTGTTTCCTGATGCGCGCGTGCATATCCCTGGATGCTAGTTTCTGTTCTGAATCATCTAATCCCCAGTAATAATAATTACGGAGTACCTTGTTCCTATCTACTGTGGCCCAGATAGATAGAACATGAACCCGACAGGCAAACAAGAGAAGCTGTTTTGCGACGTTCTGAGTTGATCATTTTCATCTAATCTCTATAGCACAACAAAATTAGATAGTAAAATGTTCATGCCAATGAAATGATGAAATGATTGATGCGGTGGGACTCCAACGCTAAAGCAATGCTGGGAACAAACAGAAGGTCCTAGCTTCAGTGTTGGATTAAAAAGAATGGTAGGCCAATCCTTTGCTGTTAGTGTTGTTGTTGTTGCGAATTTAAGGAAGTGCCAGCCCTGCTAGCCCTAATTAAGAAAAGCCCCTGGCCCTTAACCATTAATATAAACTCTTACAAGTACTAGTTACTTTAACTTACTAGTATTTATTTTCTTTCATTAAGCGCTGATTAAAAGCTCCGTGGTATGCGCTAGCTAGCTACCACAAGCATTCTGCAGATCATGGCTGCTGGGGCATATGCGGCCTCTTAAAGAATGGCATGGGGATGGAGGCGAACTTATTGCTAGCTGCTGCTCTAGCTACTACTTACTGATAGAAGGATCCCCAACCACAATATATGGCCGGCAACCGGCATGCCCTTTTCATTAGCTTCACCAAAACGTCAAACAAAACAGATGGCGGTCCTTGCATTTCCAGGACAGTGATTATGGGACTGCTTGAGAATGTTGGGTTTCAATGGTGGTTTTGACGGTTGGGTTCTTCTACCACACGACGTGCATGTCATGCCCGCACTGCAGTCTGCAGTATCGCCGGCCGGGCGGTTCAATCAGGTTAGTTGGCTGCTGCTCGCTCCTGCAGGTTGGTCACCCGTCCATTTCCCGAACCGACCGACCCTTCCGTTACACTGTCTGTCTGTGGCATCATTCTCTTCGATTCGATCTGCACGCTGGTAGTTTGGGGCCATTCATTCTAATGAAATCCAATATATAGATCCTGCATGCACCAGTATTATAGAGGTGCTTATTGTGCGGTGCTAATCGCCCTCGATCCCATTTGTTTAGGATCGGACGCACAACATTAGCATCACAGGCGTCGTGTGCCGACTGTACTTTATTGGTAGCCCACTTATGCTTGTACTTATATATTACTGACAAATCACATTATTGGTTGTGCTTGACTACTGCTTGCACATCAACTGTCGTCTATCTATTGGGATCGGATCGGAGTGTGATTGATCGATCGAGTTCATGCATGTTAAGGACCGGTCTGCAGTTGTCAACCATATTGGAGTGTAACAACATCGTCCTCGTCCTTAATTAATACTACTGAACTAGTTGTTTATGTTCAATAGCAAAAATAAAGCAAGCGCTAACTGGACCGTATCTGGTTTAATTTCCTGATCGATGCGCGCGTATATATCATCATGGACCACGACTGTAGTGTGGCCGCCAGCTGAAGCTTGATGATGTAGCTGGTATCTGTCTCGAACAGCTCACGGTACATGCGAAATAATACTGGACAGCAGAGAAGGGCCCGGGAGATGAGCATTACCATATTCTGCATTCTGACGTACGAGGCGTTGCATCACTAATAATCACTCATGGCGATGCTCATGCTCTCAGCGGTTAATGGTAACACCGATCGACTTGTATAGTGACATATATGCTTTCAGATGATATGCAGCATCGATCGTCAAAGTAGGTACCATGTAGCAGCCAGCAACGGTACTAGGTACGTTTCCTGTTGAAGGGTGCAATCAGTTGATCAACACTGTTAAGAAAGAGATCAGTCGTGTCAAGTAGTAGTACTATTACTGTACATGTGGTTAGAGCAGGATAGACCTGATGAGTAAAAGGATCGATGGAGAGCAACCAGCGACCGACCAACTCCAGCAGACGAATAAATTTGTCTATTTCCATGGATCGGGCCGGTCCACAACCTGGTGTTTAGAGCAGTGTCCGGGGGAAAAAAAGCGCATGCAGCCAGTGACCCATCGTCTTCAGCAATTAACGTGGCTGATTGAGACCGGCCAGTAGTGGCGCCCGCCGCGATTGCGTGCGCGCGCGCATGGCAGCGTGCGCTGAAGGCGACGACATAGAGCGCATCTGGACGGACAACGCGCGTCGGCGGCCGTCCGTTCGCTAACCTCCACCGTGCATGCGTGCATGCCTTTTGTCGTCCCACGGAAACGGCCGGCCGCGAACCGCAGCCGCATGTCCAGGCAACTAACCAGCTAGCTGCCCGCCTGCCTGCAGCCTGCTAAAACCATGCATGCCCCGATCCGTTCCACTGTCGTGAAGTGTAGCACGCCCAGCGCGTCGTCTCGTCGCATGACGATGATGACCACGCGTCCACGCCGCGGGCGGGCGTCTTTACTTGCGGTTGCACCGTCGCGGTAGCGGGCCGCGCGACGCCATTGCATGTGCGCGCCGCGCGGAACACGGGCGCCCGCGCCTACCCCCCTGAGGCCTCCGTACATGTGGCGCCAGCCGAGAGCGAACGACGTCGACCCTGTTCGCTTGGCCTGAGAGAGAAAAATACTGTTACTTCGCTGAAAATAAATCGGCGCGGGTCGTCGCGGCGTCGACGATCGGGCACCACACGAAACACCCGCCAGCAGCAGCAAGCGCGCTCCACAGCCACATGTACTGTGCCGCTCCGCTCGTTTCCGGCCCACGTCGAGGCGGGACGAGCGTACGACGTCTCACCTCAACCTCATGGAGTCATGCATGGACACGGCCAACAGTTCCGCTGCCCGCGCGTTCTCTCTACTGGCACTGGCTACTCTGCTGCGGCTGCCGGGCGGGCGGCTGGCTGGCCCAGTCGTGACGTCTACGCCATCATCGCATTTATGCCGGCGCGGCGTCCCCCCGGCCGGTAGGTCGCGCTTGCCTTTCGCGCCCCGTGCATGTGCCTGTCGTCGGGGCAGAGCGAGGAGCATCGTATGCATGGTTAGCAAACCAACTAATGCAGGCTGAATCCATCCATCGATCGATCAGACTTTGCTCACATTCCCATCTCTGTAATTAAGCTACCTCGCTCCAATCTAATCGACAAAAAGGCTAGTACATATCTTGTACACTCCCGACAGCTGAGCTGACAGTGGTCGAGATAGACGGGCAAATATATAATGGGACTGATCGATAAATAAACGTCGTAACGCATATGCATGCACCAGCACGAAGACATGGCGCGTGCGCGAGCGCAGGCCGTGCATTCGGGTTCGGGGCCGGCCGCCGTGTACGGGGAGTCCTGCAGCTACACGACTCACTGTCGAATTGCCTGGGGGCGAGTGCTTTCACTCTGAAACCTGCAGCAACTACCCCTCTCCACGCGCATTGAGAATCGCCCACGAGGATGCACAGGTGGGCTTGAGACCGTGACG